CACCCCTCCATCCGTCACGCGCGCCGCCAGCCGTCCGATCCTGAGGCCGCCGCCGTTCAGAGCGACCCGCTTCATTCAGTCGAGAAACGGACCGCGTCCGTCACCAGGAGCACCCATTCATTCGGCGCTCGTGTTCTCACGGCTTCATTTAGCCGGGCCGATGAGGCTGATTCGTCTCGGGCCTCGGGCGGGGACGACGGAAGCGCCGGCCCGCGCCGGCTGACGGGGCCAATGTGTCGGCACCGGCCGCACGGGCGACGGTGGCGCGACACCGGGTCATTTCCCCTCGGGCGACTTATGATGCCGGCCGGCCTGACCGATGACAAAGCAACCGGCCGCGGCGTTCGGCCGCGGCTACGCCAGCTCCATCTGGTGACCAGCGGCCGCGGGCCGATCACACTGACTCATTGGTGTTCGCAAGAGCGGTGGTCAGCCACTTAGTCTCTGGCCAGTGGGTGTAGAGGAGCACAAGCGTCTGGGATGGGCAGAGGCTAACAGGCGACAGTGCCGGCATATGTGGAGGGACGCCTGGGTTAATACACGTGGACGGCCGCGCCGAATCAGCATGGCTGGAACAGACGACTGCCCCAGCAGTGGTGGACACTCGTCTGCGCCGGTACACGTGAACAGACGGCTGTGTTAGCACAGGCGGCATATTTTAGATGTTTGGTGTCTGAGTAGAGGCAGACAGACGGTCTGAGTCGGTAGAGATGGACAGCGTCTGGGGAAGGCAACCTTGGACAGACATCAAAGGCAAGTAGAGGTCTGGGTGGCAGAGCTGGGCAAACGCTCGGGCCGATGTGGTGAGAGGTGGTGAGAGTGCAGGAGGTGAGAGAAGGTGAGAGGTGGGAAAATGTGTATGCCGATACAGGCGGATAGATGTCTAGTGCCAGCGAGAAGACACAGTCGTATGTACGAGGATGCATAGAATGTATTGGAGTTTGAATACCAGATGCGCCGAAATCGCGTGGGTCTTTACAGTCTTTTGTATTTTGTGGGTTTTAACGGTGTTTTAGTGATTGGGGTCACGTATGAGCCGGCCGAGATAAAGAACGGTAGGGGAAGGGAAGGGAGAACACTTCCAAGGGCATACAAAGCTCCACCCCGCCAGTGCGAACTACAGATGAGAGAGACAGCGGCAACGCAGAGGAACATGGAGCCAGCGTTTTTTTTCTGTTGGCATTGACCGAAGGTCAGCATGGATCTATGTAAAATAAATGAGAAAAGCGATATGCTGTCACAATTTTTATTAATGGGAATAGAGCGGTGCAGTGAAGGCTGATTGATAACGGTGCCATTGGTCCGGTCGTCTATCAGGGAGTCTTAGCATGCCAGTTGGGTCTGCAGATAGAAAGGCGTATGTCCAGCAAGAAGTGAACAACAGCCCAACTGCGTGGAGGTCAATGACAACAGTCGTCAGGCCCTGATGCTGTGCGGTACAGTATCAACGGAGGGGGGGGGGAAGGGCAGTCAGCACAGCACAGTGGTGTCAATGTGTGTAGGTGAATGTGGGCACCAAACACTGTGTTGAGTGTGATGATAAGTCATAAACAGCAGAAAAAACAACAACACTCGTCAGGGTTCGCCATCGTGGTTCGACACCAATAGATACTCGTCATCCGCGCATCATCAGACACAGCATGCCTTCATGTAGGCCTATCCCATTGGGTATATCACAACACGGCGAATTGTTTCCTATATATATATATATATATATATATATATATATATATATATATATATATTTGGACTATCGGCCACGCCATATTACACGGGGTTTTGTGAAGCTGTCTCCAACGACGTTAAATTCATACAACGAATACAACATTCCGGTAGAAAAATCTGGAAAGGAGAACTTGTGCAAGATCTTTCAAAGTTTTATCAGATGCTTTAAGCGTATAACTCACTAAGCATTCATAAGCAAGGCTGTTTTAAGCCCCTGAAAATATCGAGTCACCAAAAAAAGTTAACCCTGAAATGTTTCGGTACTATTTATCCATGACCTGCCTGCGTTTATAATCCCTAGGGGTAGAGTCAATATAGTAGTCAATCCCGCGCATGGCGAGCATCTGATGCGCTCACTATGCAGAAAATCAGCTGAAATACCTGGCGTAGAGTGCCACCTTCCCCGACTCTACGAAAGCAACATTCCATTTTTGCGAATCGTGCACTGTATTCAAGAAATGTAATTTTTCTTTCAACACGAGTCTAAGCGGTGCGCCACAATACGGCCCATTCCCTGCGCGCTGCGCAAGCGATCGCCATCCACAGCTCGTCCCATCCCTGTCATGCCATCGCGGTGGCAGGACAGGGATGGGACAGGCTGTGTCCAGCAGGCCGATGCATCGGTGCGCTGGACAGCCTGGCGCCGCGAGGACAGCCATTGCGCGGCGCCACTCAAAGTCCGGACGACAAACAGACCGGTTCAAACAGTGCGAGCGTTTCTCAACGGCTGCAGCGGGCGTGAAGAGGCTTTCCGCGCGGGCGCGTGTGTTCGACGACCCTATACTTAGAGAGAAGATCTACATTTAACAATATTGAGGCGAACAACAGATGTGATGGAAAAAGCTCACTTGCAGCTATCGGTATGATATCAAGTGCAAAGAGCTGTTCCAGACAAACATTTATCTATTAAGTTATATGGTACTCAATGTGTCATGGCTTGATTACGTCGTGGAACGATTTAGGAAGTCAGCGTCGCTGCCAGACAGGCCGTGTCAGAATTGCCACTGGAGCGGACGGGCTGACTCACTTGTTGTAATTCAACTCGCTGCAGGGCGGCTTGTTTGTTGAAGCGCGTTAACTAAGGTGAACGTCGTTAAGTGCGCGTGCTTTGGCTCTAAATTGTGTTCCTGCATATTTGTCCATGATGGCACGACTTCTGCTTGCATTCGCAATCTTGATTATGACGCTATTCTTGTTATTCGATTCCCAGCCTCGTTTCCGCCACAACTAATAGCACTACCCAAATGTTTGCATTATGATTCACAAAAGGCGCATCGTGTTTGAAACTCTCATTTCACGCGTAAAGCTGGCTGAAAATTAACTGTGGTCCGTCGATGTGACATTTCGTGCTGACGCACCAACACGAACAGCACGCACCAACAAGTCCGTTGTTTTATTTGTCTTAATCTTGCACACCATACGACCACTGAGGGGTCGGCATTGATGTGTTGTTTTTGTGATGCCATACTTCCCTGGGTGAATTCAAAATAGGCGGCGCAAAAAGTCCTTACAATATGCTCAGCAACCAGAGGATTGGAAGTTTTCAAAAGGACATAACTGTGAACTGCAAGGAATGGTCTTAAAATGGCTATCCCGGACGAAACTCCATACAAAAGTGGAACAGTCCTTTTAAGAGCAATCAATCCGTGATGAGGTAAAGGCGAAAACGCAACAGATACGCGGAACAACCTATTATCTATGCCGTGATGAACGTTGCTCTGTATTTGATATTACAGTTTAGGCCAGGCTATACGCCCATGAGCAAAATGAAGTCCATGAAAGCTATAGTCCATGAAGTCCATGAAAGCTATGTCATAGCTATAGTGAGGCTCGTTGAAATGGAACAATATCCGCAAAATGTTGCTGATAACCTCTTTGTTCCATGGTGCGGGCATAAATTAGATTAAGCAAGTGCATTTTTTTCAAACTCGATTGCTCAAGTTGGGGCAACGGTGGGAGGTGTGGCCGGCGGCCCAAACAAAGCGCTAACATTGGACGCAAAGCCGTTTACTGCTTCATCCGCCAGTGGGAGGACCGAGGCAGATAACCAGGGGCCGACTATCATTAAAAATCACTTTAAGGCCTCTATTTGCAATCTATTCAAAGGTAGTGCAGGTAACGATCTAACAACTATTCTAACAATGATAAACCTGATAACTCTTCTAATGCCTAACCCCGATCTGTCTGACATTCTTGATGATTTGGGATACAATCGACATATGCCATGGATGCATGACATTCATTGGCATGGCAAAGGTAGCGATAAAATGGCTATTCTTGACGTTTTGTAAAACAAAATTCCTGGCTAGCGGAAAGCTTTGAGCATTGTTTTGACGTTCTAGAAACATTATACTGCTAGTGCTACGAGATCTCTTGTTGCAAACAAGTCTTTAATACGACAGTGCAGATCCGCCTGGATTCTCCGGGACGGATCTCCCCACCATAGGTGGCTAACAGCCAACTTCATTACACTGCCACGTGCTCTTCTCGTTCCTCACCATGACATCGGCAGATTTGTCGGACGGCTCAGGATACTCCCAGCGTAATAGCACAATCAACGATGGCAAATGCTGGTGTCGGGGCCTAGCGCCGTCCGTGCGACACCGGCAACGGCATCTGCGGGCCCGGCGCCGGCGAGGAGCCAGCTCGAGCCTGCCCATCGCCTCTCGGCGCCGGCGAGAAGCCAGCCCGGCCCGATCCACCGCCTCTCGACGCCGGTGAAAAGCAACCCGAGCCTGCCCGCCGCCCTGCGTCCGTCGGCGAGAAGCCAGTCCAGCCCCTTCCGCTGAGGGAATCCGGCTTGACCCTGCCCGCCGCCCTGCGCCCGTCGGCGAGAAGCCAGTCCAGCCCCTTCCGCCGAGGGAATCCGGCTTGACCCTGCCCGCCGCCCTGCGCCCGTCGACGAGAAGCCAGCCCAGCCCTTTCCGCCGGGGAATCCGGCTTGACCCTACGCGCCGTCCTGCGTCCGTCGACGAGAAGCCAGCCCAGCCCCTTCCGCCGGGGGAATCCGGCTTGACCCTGCCCGCCGCCCTGCGCCCGTCGACGAGAAGCCAGCCCAGCCCCTTCCGCCGGGGGAATCCGGCTTGACCCTGCCCGCCGCCCTGCGCCCGTCGACGAGAAGCCAGCCCAGCCCCTTCCGCTGAGGGAATCCGGCTTGACCCTGCCCGCCGCCCTGCGCCCGTCGACGAGAAGCCAGCCCAACCCCTTCCGCCGGGGGAATCCGGCTTGACCCTGCCCGCCGCCCCTCGGCCGCCGGTGTCGGCTCAGCAACTCACCTGTTAGGTCTCGGCCGTGGAAGTTGCGCACATCGAGGCATAGGCTCGAGAAGGCCAGCACGTACTCGGCGATCCGGCCCGTTGTCAGAGGGTAGTCCTTACGCCTGAGAACGTGCAATGCTCGGCTGTGATGAAAGCGCAGTCTTTGCGCCGCTTGAAAGGAGGCGGTGTTAGCGGGGTTGGTAGCCTAGCCAGTCTCGTCGCCGCTCGAGGAAAAGGACACAGCGACAGTGCTGTTAGCACGCAGAAAAGATCTGTAAGAGACTAATGGCGCCAAATGATGCCGTAATTGTTGCGAAGACGGTTTTTTTGAGAATGCGTGGCTTTCATTTACGTGCACCGAAGTCGTACAGGACATGAAGGAGCGCAAAATATGAAACTGAGACCCTGAAAACACAATGTTTCCGTTTATGTTTTAATAGCACTAGGACCTTGCTTTAAGCAAGTGGTTGAGGGGGGGGGGGGGGCGAGCCATAACTTAAACTTCCTATTCTCAACGATCTTATCCCACTTCTAGCATTAGTTATTTGCAAGATCCAACATTGTGCCATCTATGGAATCAGCAAATGCATAGCGACATTCGCGGTCACTGTGGTGATGTAATGCTCGGGGGAGGTATACCATGTGTGATGTCGAAATTATCCTTCATTATTTACTGTTCCAGCCCACAATATGAGAGGCCCCCGAAAACAGCACTACGACAAAACGCAGCACTAAGTTGGAGGAAAAGGAGACAGGGTCGTCACAAATTAATACCAATAGATTTCCCTGCTCTAAACTTCAATTCTTGTCCTAATCTCCTTAATATAAAGTGATATATTACTAAACCCATCCATTCCCTTTGTTGCCTTGGCGATTTAGCGCCTCGTTTCCTTTGCTTCCTCAATTAAGCAATGCAATAACACAGTTCAGCGGTGAACCAACTGCGCGGAAGGCGACTGTTTAAACTTTGATGTCTAAGTGCAGCGAATCAGCAATAGTAAGCAATAAGCTACTCCGAAACGTGTCACCAGGCCGACGGGAAAGAAATCGCCAATGACACCGTGAAAGCAAGGCTCCATGTACGGTGCGAAACCGGTCATATATCTGCCGGTGGGAATTGCTGCGCTCCGGGGTCCTAAGACTTGCGATGCTTCAGTCCATACTTCTTGATGATCAAAAGCATCGATAGCGCAGTAACAAGAACCGCATTCAGACCAGTAACGTATTCATAAGTTCTCCATCGCTGAACCAATACCAATGAGACCCAGGATCAAACTCGCATTACATTTGTATAGCTTCGTTCCACTGACGACGTTCCATTTCGATTCTCTTTAAATTCTGGCAAGGGCCTCGAAGCCTTCAAGTGGATGACAGACTACATTCCCGTATGGTGTTGCCAATGGCGAAACAGCATAAAGAGGCCCTTGTTCATCATGCAGATGAACGGAAACATTTTGTTTCGGAAAATAATCGGTGCACGGTGTCGGTGCAATATTTGGACGTAAGCAGAACAGTGTGGGCGAGCGCTGTTGGCTTGACTCATTTCGATTCAATGCCTCTACGGAGGGAAACATTAAAAGCACCCGTGTCCACATAGGAAGCGAATTTTTCTATGCCAAAATCAAGGGGTCTTGACAGCAAAAGTTACGCAGAGTAAATTTCCGCCGCCATTGCCGCCCACCGTGTCATTGCTGAATACTACCTGGCCCACTGCAGCCTCGCACCAGTCCTCTAACTTCGTTTCAAGCTACATTTGCTTTCGGCTTGGGACGACGTTTAGTTTGTTCACAACAATGGAGTAGTTTGGAAGTCCCAATATGTCTCTACCGTGTCAGAGAGCGCTGGAAAAACATCGTAATAGAAACATTAAATATTACCGACTTCTTGGCGCTCCCTTCAGCACCACCCATGCTTAGAAATTCAATCCCGGTCCAATCAAATTCTTTGAAAGGAGTATAGAACGACTGGAAATACCTCGGTCTTGGAGACGATCGAGTGGAGGTGTGGAAGGAAACGGGTACCACCTCTCGGTCAAATACAAGGTCAGATATTTCAATAGTAGCCGCAAGTGACAGCCAATTCGCGAAACAAATTTGATGCCATGTTGAATTTGAAATTCACTATCAACCAATCATCTAGCTTTCGTCAATCTCCACAATATAGTGCTTCGATGAGTTCAGTTGTGCATTGATGCAGCTTGCTCGAGCATAGGTGTGCTTATGCCTTTGCATAATTACTAAAATACAACTAAAATAACCAAAACCGCTGACATAAGGTAAATAATTTAAAATATAAAATCACGCTTTTGATAGTCGTGGTCATAATTAATCAGCATGACAGCCACTCCACGTGCTGTAGCTACCATGGCTCCGGGGAAGTGACGTGACGAGAGGGCACTGAGACCGTCGGCGGCTCTCACGCGATCAAAGGCAACTGCTTTACTAACAGCCAGTCAAACATGATAAAGCAGGCAACACTCGGCAGTCACGCGTCAACCCCGCCGACAGCCGACAAGCACGATGCCAGCCTGTAGCCAAGCGTTGGACGTTCACCACTTACACCTTTCAGGTACGATCATGTACGGTTTTACTGTTCGCTCCCCGGGGCGAAGATAAGCGAGCACCAGTGATGGCGGCAACGACTGGCGTCGATCACCGTCGCTGCCGGCCACCCGCGTTGCCTACCCCTATACACGGAGAGGCATCGGGCGGGCTGCAACTCGGGGTCTGTGCTGTGAATGTTGACAGCCTTTTACGCTACGCGCATGTGCAGCGCATGTGCGAGTTACGGGTTATGACACGTTACAAGTGCGTGCCGGCATGCTCCTGGCAAGATTATGTTTGCTTTCCAGTTGAATATTGTCCCCCTTTTAGAGAACGCTGTTTGCTGTTCTTCGCACAGATTTTGCTTGAAGTGTTTCAAGATAAAAATCAGACGGTCTCGGGTCTGGGGAAGAAGGAAATCATCCGCATCACGGCGCCGACCCAGCACCCGCTCTCTAAAAAACCGTCCTGTAACGCACACTCGGATGCCTTAGACTGAGCGGAGTGGTGCCCAGTTTTTTTCGACGCTACTCGAGTAGCAAGGATGAATAAATCACATGAGATTGTGGAAGCCAGCAAGCAGTTCTACACCTTGCCATTGCTAGACAATTCAAAAACTTCATCAAATCCGAACGTGGGAGCAACAGGGTTTTGGAAAACGAGGCTCTTTTTGGGGACAAGCCGACATGTTAGCCCAGAACATTGATTAATTACGTATTTATTTATAACATGACAGTGGGAGCTTCACATCAGCGCAGCTATACAACACGTGGTAGTGACGCTCACAATGAGCTTAACAGACAGGCGATCTACACGGCTTCTGTGGGGCCGCTGGACTGGGACGGCAATGGCCAGTGACTCCCGATTGACTGGGTAGGGCACGCTGAACTCGTTGCTGGTCGGATCCGAGAGCGACCTTGGACGGCAGCTGTTCATCTACTGGCACACGGGGGCGATGCTGCATGGCTGCACAGCCCACGGGTCCGGGTCGTGTTATGTAAGGACCCCTGTCGGGAGCGCGTGGGGTGCGAGTTCCGTCCGTGTGCTTACACGAGGCCGGGCCTCCGCAGGCCCTCAGTACTCTACGGATGGTCTGCGATCCGTCACGGTGAGCTCATGTTCGCGGTGTCGGATGTCACCGGTGCATGTCAACAGCCGTGTTCCTTGCAACAGACTCCCATCAGAGGCGCGGTGACGCACGTCGGGGTAAGCAGGGAAAATGATCAAATTATTATGCGCCAAGGGGTGTGTAATCCTTGATCAACTACCCATGGGCACGTGGCCACACATATATATATATATATATATATATATATATATATATATATATATACATATCTCTCTCTCTCTCTCTCTCTCCTCTCTCTCCTTCTCTCTCTCTCTCTCTCTCTCTCTCTTTCTCTCTTTCTCTTCCTCTCTCTTCTCTCTCTCTATCTCTATCTCTCTCTATCTCTCTATCTCTCCCTCTCCCTCTCCCCCTTCTCCCTCTCCCCTTCTCCATCTCCCTCCTCCCTCTCCCTCTCCCTCTCCCTCTCCATTCTCCCTCTCCCTCTCCCTCTCTCCCTCTCCCTCTCCCCTCTCCCTCCCTCTCTCTCTCTCTCTCTCTCCTCCTCTCTCTCTCTACGGACCGAACTCGCACCCCCACGCGCTCCCGACAGGAGTTCTTACATAACACGACCCGGACCCGTGGGCTGTTGGTATATATATATATATATATATATATATATATATATATATATATATTGGAACATGCAGTGCTTCCAGAAGGCTTGAGGTGTTCGTCAGTAGTTGAACAAGACGATGTTGTGCGATGCTTGAACGGTGTAGACGCGACTTTGTCCCCGTCTGTGAGAAGCGTGACCTTTTCTCGCACAGTTCGATGCATAAGCAAGTACTAGCAGCATAGCCATGAATTTGTCATGACCTTTGGCCGCCCTCCACCGCCAGCCAATTTGAATTTGAAAACCTTCGGGTACGCTTCACAACGCCCCACCTGATAGCTGTCAGTGGCAACCCGTCCACTTTGCATTTCAGCTGTTTTTGCAGTAAATATCACTACCTCCTAATTCACTGACAAATACTACGAACACAGGTGATGTAAGTACATCATTTCCAACGGGCATTTGACCTGTTCCATCGCGTGGTACCTCACGACGCTGAGGTCAGGCCTCCGACTAGGTCATGGGAGCCTGACCTCGGCTACGGTCAGCAGAGACGTGCCGTCGGTCCACACCCGAAGACGGGGTCGTCCACACCACTCCGCGACCGTAGTGGGCGCTCTTACCCCCACATGTCCACCAGGAAGTGGATCTGGAGCTGCTTGAGCGTGAGCTGGCGCTCGACTCCGGTGAGGGCGCTGGAGTTGGCCAGGGAGACGGCGATCACAGCCTTGGCCGTCTCCGAGTCCCAGCCGCCGTCCGCCCGACGCTGCGACATGACCCAGGAGAGAGCTGCAGACGCCGCCTCCGACGCCGTCCGGCCATCTGGCGGGCAACAGAGCAGTTCCGTTAACTTTGCAGCAGTGCGGCAAATTCGTCTCGGCAAAAGGTGTCATGGACACCGAGACATTTTCGTTAAAACTCCGAACAAGACCAAAATCATTGGAATCCAAATTTATTCATGCATGGAAATCAGAAATTACGAAAAGACATCAAAACTGCGAAGCCACGTAGTCCGTAAAGGTGTCACTTTTCACCAAACATACTGAATTGGGTAACACTCGTTTTTTAAAGATTTAATCAAGCCTTTTGAAAAGATGGATTTCTTGGATCAGAGCTTACGCTACACAGTTGCTTGTTGTGTGATCCCTGACCCATACCACCCGATAGCGCGATTCCATGCCAACTTTCTAGAATTCGTTTGAGGTGTGGGCCGATGAGATGGACCTGTCTCGCCACAGCATCCGATATCTAACCGGTTTCGGTAGCTTTAAGTTGCGTTCTTGACATCAGAACTACTTTGTTGTAAAAGTTTGACGGTTAACACTTGACAACGAATGGACATCAGATTGCATCAGTACTAGCTTTGAAGTATATATTTTAGCAACAGCGAGGCACAACGCGGATCTCAAGAAATCAGCTTGCTGATACGTAACCTTCATCGATGCCAAACACACAATAATCGTCTTGGGAATTGGGTTGGGCAGCGTCGCTTACGTTATTTATGCTTCGAAATGGTTTGTGTATTCGTTGCAACGAGCATGAAAGAAGAAAAAGTTGGTCAGCGGACTGATCCCGCTGGTAACGTTTCCTGTCCTTATGCTCGGTATGTGCCATCGAAACATTTCGGCTGAACCGCCTGTGTTTCGGACAGCCTTAAGGTAGCATCGGTAGCATTAGCGTCGTGGTAGGCAGCATCATTTAGGTAGTATTAGCACCGTGCATTGGATGTTGGGGACGTGAGAGCTTGTTGGGATGGAATGTTCGTAACTTTTTTGTAATGTCCTGGACTTTGATCTTCGCGGTAAGTAGTTCCCAGCCGTATTCTGGTTAGCGCATGAAAGCTTGGACCCTAAGCTGATTGCCTTTTGCCCCCAAATGTACCGCACATTACAATGCATTTTCTGTCTTCATCCAGGTTCTATCTCGTGAAAAACCCAACCACCATTCACAGCCTAGCCCTGACATCGGCGAACTTGACATGTCAAACATGTCAGGCACCGTTAGCTTACCGCTCATGTGCAGACAGGTATCGACCTTCCATATTCCAGCAGGTGCTGTTCAAGCGACACTACCAAGCAAACATTAATATGTTGGAAATATTCGACGGTTCAAGCTGTGGTCCTGTCATGCGTGCTGCTATGTCATGCACAGGTGACATGCTATGCATACACAGCCTGTAATCTGTGCTATCATGTCATAGATCGTAGAAAAACCAGGAGCTCAATGTCTTTTCTTTCTATCAAGCGCATCTAAAACACCTGCTGCGTACCATGTGGTACAAATTAGCATGATGGGCTCAGGTGCCTGGTGTGCGTGGTGTGTTCATCAACGTTCTTTTAAGTTTCCTCTGCCCGTTATTTCCTTATTTTTCCGATGTGCATTGGGAGGGGATCAGTGAAGCATTGGCAAACTGCGCCTGCCTAAACTCTCATACTAGTACTGTGCATAGGCAACAGTCGGCTCAGCTTCAAGCGCGGTCAGTTCGCCTCACAGGCGAGCGGTGTAGTGGCACCGCCAGCCCCAACGACCCTGAAATATGCTGTAAAATTGGCCCATGTGCCGCGCTTGGTCGGCAACGGTTCCAGTTTCACGCGAGGACAAGCCTCAAGCTAATGAAGCAGGGTTCACAAAAGGTCAGAGGTCCGGCTGGAGCCCAATGCGTTCATATGAAGAGCGGTCCATGCAGCGCGGAACATTTTACACGAACAGCATGACTTCAGCGCGCTGCTCGGAGGCTTCCATAATCAACTCAGCACCATGTGGATTCAGAGGTCACATTCACACAATGGAAATACTTTATGCAGTTTATGTTTCAAGGCATGAGACAGCAGAATGTCTGCACAGTGAGCACTCCATCTCTGGGCTGCTGCCCAGCATGCGCGTACACGTGTGGCTTGGTAAACACTTAAATTCTGCATCAAATCGTGTGCGGTTGTAGTGTAGTATAAACCTGATCTTTACCATTCTTTTCCTTATAACGTGATCGTCCCACCTTATTGTTTCACTTGGTAATCATAAGCGCAGTTGTGAATAGTTCATGCTTGTCCAAAACCACTGTCTGCTCTCCAACGTCGTTTAAGCAGTACCTTTTGACATATATTTATGCGTCGATAACTCTCCATAAGGATAACAACTCTGACCCCGCGCGTCGAAAAACCAAGAGATGAACGCCTTTTCCTGCGCACATCAGGTCTGTTAGTCCCTTTTACCTGGTCTCGCATCGGGCAGCGACAGTCAACATCGCTTTAGCTATCAGTTGCCTATGATCTGACACCTATGTCTTCCGGACGATCTGTTCTCGCCGATGGCAATGTGTTTTGGAAGTAACTCGGGACGGAAAGGGAGAGATAAATCGACGTCAGGGACGGGCCCTAATGAAATATGAACCTCGGTGTTCCAGAAATCTCCGAATGCCACGAATCGATCGTCTGGGAACTTTCACATCCCATTTTCAAACGAAATTGCATTCATCAGCGGATAATTACAACCAAATGGAGGCTCCGGGTGGTATTGGTTCGTGGTAATTCTACGTCGCCGCTAGGATTCGGGCGCGCCGACTAACCGGCCGACGGTCAGCCGCCGTCACCCGCGGCGGGCCGCGTCCGTTGCCATGCGGGCAAGGATCTCCGATAGCTGCCCCTCCCTCCCCCCCCCCCCCCGCCCACAGCCGGCTGATCTCACTTGAACGGGTGTGCGGGGCCGACGGCGGGACGGCGACGTGTTAATGAGCTCCGGCGCGTCGACCGTCGGCAACGGAGCGCCGGCCGCCGCCGCCTGCGCCGCCCGGCTCGGGACCCGGCTTTATCGGGCCGAGGGGGGACTGTAGGCTTCCTCTAACAGCTGGACAGCGAACAGATGTGCTGGCTCCGCTGGGGCTCATAATTTCCACCGCTAACTGAATGGTCCAATTAATCCCGGGACGACCCGGAGCACCATCCCCCGACGACTGTGATGTCGGGCCCGGGTCCGACTGCAGGGACTGTAGCTCTCGGCTGTCCGAACCTCAGCTATATGATTATAAAATAAGGGGAGGAAATAGCACCAAGCGCGTCACGCCTGGGGCAACACCCTCAGGAGAAGGCCTTATTATATATTATCGGGAACAGATTCCATTTGGAAGGCTTATTCTGGCCCGGTGAGACCCTCACGCTTTCTAAAAGTTAACATATAGGTTTGGGAGATATTTGATTTTCAGTTGAGAGGTCAGTGCAGGTATGTCTGTAATTTTGTACCACACCATGATGCAAAACTAACGTCATGCAAGTCTGAAAAAAGATCAAATGCTACAACAACCGTTTCCACGGAGGATTACGGCGCGCAACTTTTCAAAACCGTTTAAAAAGTTTCCCAACATTTGGTTATAAGCGACACAACTTTTACGAGCAATTTGCCGCCTGAAATGCTTGAAGAGATTTAAAAACATGTCGGCAAAGTCGGATATGTTGATCAAACTGCGATTTACTGTAAACAGACAGACCGCAACCTGCCACGGTAGTTATGATGTCAGGCATCCTCCCACCGAAACTTTTGAAACTGTGAAGAGATCCGGTGCATAATGGACAGAGACGCCACAATACAGACCTCCTGCTCTTTGTATGCGTCCATGTTCACAAGTATGCAGCACTTAGAGGCTACATACCAAAGCATTTTGCACGATGAGTGATCCTTCAATTCGATGATCCTCAATGCAGGCCTTGCTACGCTCGACGCCGATTTAAGCATAATAGTACGGCCAGCATTCAACGCCTCAACCTGATTCCCACCGTTGCCAGCCTGGCATTATCCTAGAATCTGAGAGAAACCAAAAGGCATAGACTTAAGAAACACATGTGCATAAAGGTCTCGTTTCGGAATCGCATTTTTCTGGGTTCGATAAACATGGTGCACAATGAATAGTGCTATCTTTTCCGATCCGATCCAGCCTAGCTATTAAATTTTAGTGGAATTCCATGAGAACAATGATATTCTTGCTCAGAAATTGATACATACTGAAGCTTGTGAACCAATTTTTGATAATATTTGGAAGTCTTTTAACACATTAATGCGTATGGAAAACGTCTAATAATTAGCTATATGGAACATGAATGTCTGACAAAACATAAAATAAGTCATAATTCTGAATAAAAAATAGGTTCTTACATTTGCATACCTGATTCTACGTATGCACCTATCGGTATCTACTTCGATCATAATCCGCACGGCAGCACAGAGTTATCCGGCATCCCTCGATTCAAATCGCTTAGAGACTGATCAGATTTACAGTCACCAGTTTTCAAGCAGTTCTACTCGTGAATCGGCGAAAGAGCACTATATCAGTGAGCTTCTCTCCGTTAAAGTATCTACATGATCACAATTGGGTACTTTCACATAGGCTATCGCCTTTGCCCTTTTTACACCCCTCAAGGCCATCTTGCTGGTTATTATGCTAAGACATAACAATTACCCGATACGAGTGAATTTCCACCACTGGTCATCCATCGGTAGTCGTTTTCATTTCTAGACATTCATTTTTGCGTTCAGATGCAGAATGTCCATCAGGTTCCATCAGTCGCAAGCGTGTTGTCGAGTGACTGCGGACATATGCCACGGTTTGGGCCCTGGCGAACAGGCGCACGGCAGAAACACCATTTCCAGTATTTCAAAGCATCTCACCACACGGGAACAGCTTAGCCTTCCGTCAATACCAAGTAATTTGAGCCGGTGATATTTGTGTGGCGTGAAAATTACCTCAGTTAGAAGGCGTTATTTTTTGCTACAAGTGCCAGCGACCAAAAATCTAGAACCGACTGACCGTTCCAGTGCGCTAATTCGCACCACC